TGAATTTTTATAATGAAAATGGATTGGAATTGATTTAATTGTGCATGGTTCTTATGCAAAGCAGAATAGAAATAAATAACTTTGTTTGTACAATTACATTCTTTTACGTTGGATAGAAACTGCATGCTGAGTGGAATTGTATTGAAACTGTCTCTTATACACATCTAGATGTGTATAAGAGACAGACTGTACATTTTGTTCATCTGTTGCTGGTTGGCAATGTCCGGACCCCCCTTAAATTTTAGAGTGCCCCTCTTTTAGTAAGGAAAAGCATTTTATACAGATGTTGGTCATTCCACAAGGGGCAGTGCTGGAAAAAAATCACATATCATAATATTTAATTTATGTCCTGGCAGGCTATGTCTTCTATTCTATGGGCCTTTATTGGGTTAGTGACTTGATTGAGACATGCAACAACTGCCTTGTTTATGTTCTGGTCCCTTGTTGATTTATTTAAAAATGCCAACGCCGATACAGCGCCAGTGATTTTTCCCTGATGTACATTTTTCCTAATTTTAAAGGCTGATATTCTGGGTGCATTACGCATTTTACAAGAGGGAAAAAACACTAACTGTATGTTTGATATATAAGCCAAGTGCTGATGTGGCTTACTGTAAGGTTCAACATTGGTGTTGAAGGCATTTGACCAAGAAAATGTTCATCGTCGGATGCACAAAATTGTGTTTTTTTTAAATGTTTTTTCCTCAATAGCTTTCCAGTGGAGGATGATTCAAGGGGGCCCAGCCACCAATCCCCACCCTAATTGTGTTTTAAATTAAAAAAAAAAAAAAAACGGGTAGAGAAGAATAGGCCTATTGACACCCTATCTGTGAAAATCCTTCCCTGGGCACCCTCTATTTCAAACACAGTAAACCCGAGTGCATGCCCTTTTTTCTGAACACCCTCTCCTGCAAATGTCTTGATCCGCCCCCTGTTGAGATATTTTGAACACATACACACACACACAAACGAAAACGTGACACACACACACACACACACACAAACTTACAAGACTGAAAATATATATCTCCTGGCGGAGACGATAATATGATGATGATAATGATGGCATTGATGATGACGATGATACCACTTTATAGTCATGGGTAAATTTCCACACCGTCGATTACAATCGAACGGCACTAGATTTATCAACAGGATTTCGTGCTTGAATAGGTTTTGTAGAAGTTGATAGAATATCGCCGTCATATTATACCAAATGGAATTAGCATGTAGTGTATTATGATTATAACTCGTGGTATTGTGATGGCAGAAAAACATGCGAAGCTGTGACGTAATATCTGAACATCACTTGTGTGGGTCACGAGACAGACATGTAACTTCAAATACTGTATACGTACTGTATATTATCCTATGATTTAAGAGGTCTGCATCCCTGTTCAGAATACTACTAATTTTTGACAAAAGCATCATGACTTTATATGGGCATACAACGGTTTTTTGTCAAAGAAAATTTGATAATCTGGACAAAGTGAGCTGTAGTTAGAAGGCAATGCGGCGTGATTCAAAGTTCAGTAATGAACCCGTCACTGAATTTTTATAATGAAAATGGATTGGAATTGATTTAATTGTGCATGGTTCTTATGCAAAGCAGAATAGAAATAAATAACTTTGTTTGTACAATTACATTCTTTTACGTTGGATAGAAACTGCATGCTGAGTGGAATTGTATTGAAATATTAGTACAGGCTAACAATTCATATTAATTTAAGCATTAACGGAATCCGCGCCGCGCGACGCCAGGATTTTTCCGACCGAGGGGGGGGGGGCGTGTGGTCACAATGTCCCCGAGGAGAGCAAAGTGGGCATGGTCGGGGGTCGCTTAAGATGTTTCGAAATACACATACTTTTTTCCTTCCCGACAAATTGTGGTTTTCCTCCCCGATCGGTGGGGGGGGGGGGGGGTTAACGGGGGGGGGGGGGGGGGTGTTAACCTCTGACAACGAATGCAAAAACGAATAGAAACACATCTTTACAGATTTCAATAAATTTGAAGACTGTATTGCTGATGGCAGATAATAAACATAGTGTACATGAACAAAAAGAATACAATGAAAAGGTCCAGAATGTTTTATGTTTATTATTAAACTAGCGATGTTGATTTATTAACTCATCACGCCAAATACTTACAAAATCAATTAAAGAAACCCCTCAAAAATATACAATCAATTTAAAATCAAAACAAATCTGTAAGCACATAAACAATTTTCCCTTAACTACGATGTTCTATTAACAGCATATATTTGCAAAATATTAATTTGCTTTTTATAAAAAGAGTTTCTGGTTAATCATTAGGCCTAACTTCAGTTGAGATTGAATACCATATACTGTATTGATATTCCTAAACAATGTTATTTAAGGTACTTTACTTCATATTAGTAATACCCAGGAAACAGTATACCGTATGTATTTAAATATGAACTCCCTACTTTGAATATTCGCCACCACCTGAGCCTCATTCGGAATAAATGTCTCCCTTGAATAAACGCTTGGGTGCGTTTATTTTCCCTTGCATAAACTCCCCACCCACTAAATGATTGTAAACAAATTTATTGGAGCAAAGTCATTCTCAACACATTCTATAATATAAATTCACTTGGACAGTAGAATTACATTTTTTCGGGTTGGGATCAGTAGTTTTTTTATAATCATGCAATAACACATTTTGCAGGTAATTATGTGTTGTAGTTTCACATTTAGAGTGAAATTAAGGGCCATTTATTTGAGTGTATCCATACCCATTTTACACCAAAAAAAAAAATAAAAATAAAAAAATAAATAAATAAAACCCTCCCTCGACTGAATGCCTCCCTTGTATAAATGCCCACTCAATAATCACTCTACAATAAATGCCTCCGCTTATGACAGCAGTAGGCTGAACAGCAGGCAAAATTGTCATACAATATACAGATAATCAACATCAATACAAAATAAATACAATTATTATAATTATTGTAATACATGACAAAATTTTTTTTGCCTTATAATTTGCAGTACAGCTTGGAAATACTTAATTTTGAAGTGTATCTTTCCTGCATGGTATATCTAACAATATTATAATAAAACAAACTTAAATATCTGATTAAATCCATGTAGATAAGTAGGGGGCTATTATCATAATATATATATTTATTGCTGGTCTTTTATACTCTTTTAAATCTAAAAAAAAAAATATAGTGACTTGTTTATTGTAATATACAGTGTACCTTGGTTTCAATTTCTAGTTGTCTATTGATACCTTGTGTTATATTTATGGTTATTATTTGGGTTATATTTATGTATATTTTAGTTATTTCTGTAGTTGATTTAAAATCTTTAATTTATTTTTGGTATTCCATCAGTTTTTTTGGATTCAAGAAAATGAATTTCACATAAAGTATTTACATGATGAATAAACTTAACCTTGAACCTTCTATTCTTAGTTCGTTTGTTAGTTGGCCATTTTATCTTTCAGTGTACTAATAATTACCCAGCACTCTAACCCCAATATATACATTACAATAATAATGATGGTCATAATGATATCAATATAATACCAAATATTATGCATAAACAAAAAAAGTACAATTAAACAGTACAGAAATCAATATCGTGGAAAATGATTAACGGAAAAAAAAAAAACAAGTCAAAATAGCACATTTAAACGGATAAACAAGGTTTTCTATTAAAGACGTATTGTCCCCTGAAAATGACATAAAAAATTATAAAAACTAATTTTGAAATTAACTGGCTCATTTTCATGTAACATACAAATTATTAACTTGAGCAAAGAAATTATTGAATTCAAAAAATGTGTACCCTGAATTTTTTTTTTATACTGGATAATGATGATAAAAATAATAAAACACTTCCAGTGACTAGAAGTCTTATGGGTCAACATTTTTAAAATACACTTCTATATTCAAGTTTTTATGTTATTTCAAAATTAGCAAGTTAATTTGAAAAATGATTTTTTTTTAATTTTTGGGGTATTTTGAATGGGACAGTACATCTTTAAAGTGACTTCCTTAATGTCATAATGAAGTCTAGGCACACCAATAAACATCCTTAGGTGTGCATCTTAGTACTGGCTGGGATTGATTGAGTAGCCTCAATTAATTGCACCTACACAAAAAAATATGACGAAAAAATAAAAAATTGTTATGTTGCCCAAACACAGTGACAGTAGAAAAATTTTGATTTGCATGACGACGCGATGCTAGAACGGATTCACTCATGCTTGACTGTCCTATGTCCCCTGCGCAACGTAGATTTGGCCAAATTGCATCCTAGTTATGTATCTCATGTGTACTTTTGTGAAATAATTAATGATATTTAATATTTTTATATAATTATATTGATATATTTTTTGTACATGCAATAATTTTAGCCTTTGTGGCACTACTAATTGTATTTTGATGTTTTTATGCTGAAATAAATAAATCTGTGCAACCGTCAGAATTCAACGTTCCCGCATGCTTTATGCGATGTCATTACTGTACGTTCTATGTCCTACGATTGTCATGCAATCAAAAGCTTCCTGTTTTGTAAATAAGGGTTTTGGTCAGTCAGCATTTTTAAATGTTGGTCTGATTTTATCTCTAGGATTCTAGAAACGAAAAGAAAGGTAAGTAGTAAAAATGAGAAAAGGAAAAGAATGAAACAAATTTTAAGACAACAGAAGTTAAGGAGGTAAAAAACTACTGGTCAAATAAAATACACGTACCCCCTGTATTTCACTCCTTCCCCCTTATTTTTCCGGTGACCTGTGAAAAAATGTCCGGGGGAGGGGAAATGATATAGGATATAATTTATGGGGGGCCTAAGATGCTCTTATACACATCTAGATGTGTATAAGAGACAGGTATTTATGAGTGTAACTATAACCGAAGGCCCGAGCCGGGAGTGGGTATGGGAGGGGGTGTCCCGTCTTCCCAAAACAAGATTTTATTTTTCTAAGATTGGGACAGCCGGAAATGGCTGGGATGGAAAAACTAGGCCCATTTTTTTTTTTTTCAGTCCGACTACCCGACGAGCTTTGGCCGATTGAGGGGGGGAGGGCTTGACCAGACTGATTGGGGGGACTTAAGCCACTGCAACCAGCCTAGACCCAATATTACAATACTGTATATCAATAAAAAAGTGAAAAATCATCATGAGAAGTATTCCAACTACATTGTCTAGGCAATGGATGCCAATAGCTGATCTATTTTCAGTAGCTAAATATTATTATGATTAGGCTTACATCACAGTAAGCACATAAGACTGTTAATATAATTACTATTATATTGCACACATGTATGAAAATCAGATTTATATTGCAGAATAATACCAACACATTTTTTTCGAATGGCAAAATTCATAAACTTTCTCAGAAAACAAAAGTTAGATAGCATCAAATAAATGCTCAGTAATGCTGGCTAAGTTTAGTTATTAATTTGTAAAGGAATAATTTGTTAGTAATATATCAATATCAATATCTTTTTATGAATAATGTACTTTATAGCAACCTTCATGTATGGTTTGCCTTGGAAAGCGTGTATTTTGATCCTAATCTATTTCTTGTAAAAGCAAAATTCATAAAGTTTTTTTTGGAATCATTCTATTAAGTAGAGGGATGGATGTGCAATTAAGCCTACAGTGTTAGTGGACGTTAAAAATATGGACCAAAATCAAATATACATTTCTAATTTTTTTTTAAAGTAGTTTTTACAGTACTGTTGCATAAAAATCAATAAATTATCATATGTTCTTGAGATTGTTTTTCATATTGAAATGCAGTACAATAGGTCCTGATCCTGAAACTACATATATTTTATCTAACAATCAAAAAACAAATTCAAGAAAATACAACATTTTTATTATGCAAAACCTTTCACTGTAGCAATTTTACACAAAAATGAAACCATTCAAATTGACGAAGATGTTTTCTTCTTCCTAAAGCGATCCTGAAAACCCCCCGAGCAGTATTCATTGTAAATAAGTCGAATTAGAAACAGATGGAATATAGATATGAGAATTCCAATGAACACCCATAATATCACTGGAACATGGATTCCTTTATGGCTAACAATTAATGGTAACTCATCCATTGTATGCAAGTAACGATAATGGATTACTTTTTTCCGAAGGAACACCAGATGATCTGCTTCATGTGATATGTACAGAAATGGAGTCATTGGTTCAGTCCACTTCAATGCCAGTACTTCTATTTTATGACTGACAAGAACAGGGTCATTTTTACATCCAGTTTCGCAAGCAAACAGCTGATAGTTTGGATTTCCTTTCTGAAAACTATTCGCTTGGACTTGAATGGTCTCCGTTGCCTTGTTTATTTTAATATCAACATCACTACTACCATATTTCAGATTTTTAAGTGTGAGTGATCCTTTGATATGGTGAGGATCAGCATGAAAGGACAGGTCTTCTTTGGTGAACTGCCCTCCCAAGAAACTCAGAAGCATGGCTTGCATCACACCATCTGCGCCAACTGTCAACAGATTTTGGCATCCGCTTTTGTATAGTGTGTGAAGCCAGTGTGAAACAAGATCGGACAATTGGTTCTTCTGATTAACAGATTCCCAAAGAAGCTCCATAAAAAGTGTGGGCTGACCATTGTAACAGCTACCGGGATTATCAAGAGCTTGCAGAAGCAGTGCTCTATCCATATCTGATGTATCAACATGATAGAGTGGAGCCTCTACTGATGAGAGAATGTAATACATGATCATATTGATTAATTCCTGTGGATGTGTCCCTTCACCATTTACCTCCTCCAGATTTTCCTCTTGCACAAACTCGCCTTTCCAAATATCTTTCCAAGCTTCTGTATGCTCACTAGCAGATTCACTGAAGGACATTCCCTTCAAAGCTAACATGTCCATGCGTACTTTATTTACCAAATCAGACAACTCGGTGCTAGTGACTTCTTCCTCCAGGACAGGTTCTGTGTACTGGACAACAGTAAAGACCTCTACAGTATGTGATCCATGTGGTTGCACATCAATATTTGTTGCAGACAGTGAAATTCCTATAGCTATATGGACAAAGTGGTCAGTGGTAAAATCTCGCACCGTGTGTGTGGCAAACTTTCCTGATATAAGTTCAAAACTAAGAGTCCCACCTTTCAAATCAATTGACTCGGTTACAGATTTTGCACCCTTCCAGCGATTCAAACCCCAGCTCTTTAATGTGAGTGTGACAGGATTTGGGGTTTGATTTTCAATAGTTATCTTCTGCATTATTACAGACTTGCGAGTTCGATGAGCAAATGAGGTGTGGCGTACAAACACGCAGTCTTTTCCAATAGAATAACACTGTAAGTGATGAACAAGGCCACTCTTTGAGTGCAGTATGGTAGCACTATGGGCTGACAATCCCTCGACTTCGGCATTAAAAATCGGATAATAGGGTATCTCAAATGCCCAAGGCGGATCATGCCGGAGCACAATTCCAGCAGGTTTGTAGTAATTTATTGCCACTCCTACATTCCCATTCCCGATAAATGGTAAAAGTTTTTGTTCAGACGACCTGGGAGCATCGAGAACTGAGGCATCATGCCCGTGACTACCGCTTAAAATTGCTGATATCCTTGATGTTAGGCAGGTTTTGGCACTGGAATTCCACTGTAAACTGTACTCATAAACATAGGGAACACAGTACATCAGAATTAGGATGATAAAGAAAGATGCAAGGCACACACGACGCCCCCTGCCAGGTGGTATGCTGTTCTTGATGCGGGTAAAAACCAACATGTTTTTACAACTGTTGATCAAATCACTAAAATCTAAACAAAAGAAAAATTAGTTTAAATTATTATCTTAATATAATCAAATTAAATGAAGATGTTGACAATAATTTTATATTTCTGGTATTCTAAACATTGCACCTGTGTAAAAATTTTTTGGTAAATAAACTCCTACCCAGAGCTGTACAAGCTGTATTATAAATTTTTTTTGTTAGTCAGTTTGTTACTTTTTATATAAGTTAAAAAAAAAACTAGTACTTAAGACAACTACAAGAAAATTAGTAACTCTAAAAGATTGGCTGTGCATTTGCAGAAGTACATTTTAAAACAAAAAAAAACTGAACTTTGTTCAGATTATCAAATTTCCTTTGACAAAAAACTCTTGTATGCCCATATATAGTCATGATGTGCCTCTATATGGTCATGATGTGATGTCATCATAACCATATGTAGGAATGTCACATGTTTTTTTGTCAAATAAAATTTGATAGTCTGGTCAGGGCTTTGGTATCACAGATCAATAAAATAAATGCATATTCTACAAATCTAAAAATGAATAAATAAAAGAAAAAAACACATGCTACTGTTTTGTAACAAGTGCGAATGTGAGAAAGCAGAATGTGATTAAAAAAGTATGAGAAAATATGTAAAATCAGTCCTCTCAAGAAAATAGAACATTTTGCTAGCCCCATCAACTTAGATATTGCTGATAAGTTCCTAGACAACGACAGCATTATAACATATGTAAACCTGTATTAAAATACACTCAACATAGATACTGCTATAGCACAGGACTGGTCTAAATGGAAAAATATCACCAAACCGAGACATAATATAAATGTGTCCAATCATTGAAGGGAGACCATGCGAATTAAACTGGGCAATAAAGGCCTGTTCACACAATGACAATGACAATCAATGATAAAAAGCTAAAATGCAATTGTTCATGAAAATAAAAGAAATAAAAGTTTTATTACTAACACGATTTATTGTGTACTGTATTTGATAAAAAAAATAATTTCACAAATCAAATGATGTCATGATCATGGAAAAATGATAAGATCGTTTATAACTACTAAACTACTATGATTTTATTGTTTTCTCATTGTTATGACGTCATTTGATTTGATTTGTGAAATTATATTTTTATCGTATACACGATGGAATCCTGCTTGTGTGAAAACTTCTCTTATTTTCTATATCAACAATTGCTTTATAGCTTTTTTTTCATCAATCGTTATCGTCATAATGTAAACAGGCATTAGTGTGTATGTGGGACATGTGCATACTCCTTTTTTTTATACATTGTATTTTTATCATTTCCCATGTATTTCATAAAACAATAGAAATGACGCTCGGTTACATTACAATATTACAAAATGAATGCTCCGTTTTGATTGGTCAGTTGATATGTTTGACTGGTACTTTGGAAAGGTCCATTTATTTTGTTAAAGGTGGTAAATGAAGCCCTGTAAAATTGTAAGGTTGAAATTTAAAAAATGTGGCCCTTTGCAGTAGCTTGGCACGCACCATGTTTTAATATAACTGGCAAAAACCATAAAATGTTAAATACAAAGTTCTGAGTAAAATATATACCACTGTACCCCAAAAAAAAAAAAAAACCCAATTTCAAATTGATAAATGCATTGAAATAAATATATTTTAAAGTACAGTACCAGCAAAAGATTCACTTTACAAGTGGAATTTTCAACTAAATAATGTGAAAACACTATTTAGTAAAAGGTAGGAAATAAAATTTATAAAAAAAATTCACTGAAACTTAAAAGAAACTGCAAAATAAGCATACAAAGACCACACTACTTCAGATAAAAGACAGAAGATAGATCAAAAGAAAGATATTTTAAGTATACAGTAGATCATTATAAAATACAACAGCATACATTAAATTAGATTGTAAACAATTAACAAACACATACCAGACATTCTAATTCCTGTGTGACAAGTCAATGAATATCAAAATCACTGGAAATGAATTTAAAATGAAATGTACATAGAAAGAGGAAAAATGAAAGCCTTAAGTTAATTAATGATAAGTTACTGTTAAGAGTTAACTTTAGTGTTATCAACTAATATAACCGGCCTGATTCTTAATATGCGGCTGTTCGGCAGAGCCATTAGTTCTGGCCCACAACACAAAAATAAAATATTATATAAAAATATTTAAAACAAATTAAAAGTTATAATCATTCAATGAACAGTTTTTTAATAAAGCAAACTGCACTCCTGGGCTATATTCACTAACACAGATGGATGGTTTGCCTAGCTATAGTAGGCTAGGCTACTCTAGGCTTAGTTAGCTAGTAGGCCTAGCCTAGGCCATATTATATTATCATATTAAACAGAATTTATGGGAGAAAAAAAATTATCGCTCGATGCTTTACTCTCCATAACGCAGCACCCCCTAGTTCCGTCACCTCTGGATGCTTGAGTGGTCCTATTTTTTTCCCATTTACAGACATAGAAAATCTACCGGAGTCCAAGTCCCCTATTCTATAGACTGTCTGTAGGCATTTTATGCCAATATCTGGCCTCGGCCTACTAATAGGTCGCAGCCCGGCCCCAGCCCAGTAGGCCTAGTGGTACTAGACCTAGGCCTTGGGCTCTCTATAGGCCGGGCCTAGGCCTATGCCATATATGCCCTACAACTAGTAGTAGGCTAGTTATTATGGCCTAGGCCCTAGGCCTAGTAGGCTAGGCTTAGTACAGTAGTAGTTATAATATAGAGTACTACTAGACTGGTCAAATTCTACTATTCAGCCTCTACTACTAAATACTCAATTAACTTCGTTCTATGCAATGTGAATTTGATGTAAAGAATTATATGCATACCTTTAAAGAACTGATTTGTATGAACATTCCATTTTTTCCCTATCGATTATTTCTTGTTGATCATTTATAGCGCCCTCAGACAGAGGTCACTGCACTTAGGATAGGAGGATCGGAGGGGCCTACTTCTCTTCTGTTTTATGTTGTTGACGTGACACCGTGACCTGGGAAAATAGACAACTCACCACAGGAGGAGGAGGAAGAGACAGGTGTTGTGATTTATGACACATGATAGATAGGGCTGTTATACATCTGCCTGGTTATACTGTATATGGTACAATATTGAGGTTTTGTTCATCAGTTTTCAATGGCGGCAGAAGTGGAAAGTGTAGATGCCATTCTGCGTGAAAACATTCCCGCGGAAACGTGCGAACAAGTGCTAACCATTTTGTATGGGAAGAAGGCTAGGTTGGTTCAACGAATGCCAGTCAATTCGAGCGGATGCCAGTTCGAGCGGATGCATTTACTAAGTGCGAACTATAACAAGCAAGGGCGAATTTATCGTCGCCGTATTCTTGTATTTGTTTGTTTTAAATGCAAAAAAAATGCTCTGATTACTAAGGTTCTGAAAGGTTTTTAGTACTTTTTGATAATTACACAATGTTTGAATTACAGTCTTGGCAACTCCGACTAGGCCTACCAAGATGGCTGCTAACAAGTTAAAACTATATTAATAGAATTGCGCACTTTTCAGCTTAAAAAAGAAGAAAGTGTATGTTTTACTAGAGTGCACGAGAAGCACACACACACAAGACAAGTGACAATTATTTTTTTCACGGTAAACAAAGTGGGGTGGCTAGCCACCCTATTCACCACCCCTCCTCCCCCTTCCCCAGATCTGCCACTGGTTGGGGTTCTGTATTTAAAAAAGCAAATTATATTTGTAATTGAGAATATGCTACTCACTTATCTATTCTGGAACTGTTGTGTGCCCCCTTTCCCTTTGAAAATGTCAAATTTTTAGCTCAAATTATATAATTGAGTTATGCTACTCACTTATCTATTCTGGAACTGTTGTGTGACCCCCTTCCCCTTTGAAAATGTCAAATTTTTAGCTCAAAAATAGGAAATTTTGAAGAAATTTGTATATAACTCGCACAAGTTGTTCTTCTTCCGCTCAAACTAGCATCCGCTCGAAAAAAATTCCGCTCGAATCCGCTCGAAGTGGCATCCGCTCGAATTGACTGGTTCCCGGTACAACAACATTTGATTCTTGAAAAGAATTCCTCGTCCTCCTCCCCTCTCTGTGACAACCGGCTCTGCCCATTCCATGCTGCTCCATCTCCACACGAATGCCAGTCAAGTCGCCCCCAGCTTTTAAATTCGCAACCATATTATTTTAATCCTCATAAGCCCAGTGTAGTAATCTCGGAATTGTGCCTGGTACATTCCCATCCTCCTAGGACCTACTGTATGGGTTGCATGTTGCTGTTTGCACACAAAATCAGTCTACCACTCTCAGAAGAAATGCTCATTAGTTTCAACAATATCAATAATTTCCTAAAAGATTCCAGCAATTTTTTCATAACTAATTTTTTTGTGTATTTAATTTAAAGTAAGATGTATGGTCCCAGGAAAAGTACCCCTAAAAATCATTATTGAAATGAACTTTTTGAAGTTACATACAGTATTATCAATTTGAACATAGAAATATAAATTAGTGTACAGTACTTAAAAAAAATATTTTTTCCCATAATGTTACAGAAAAAGATGATAGAGGAGTTTCCTGGGTGACAATAAACACTCAGTAGTACAGTGCACCCTCAAATCTGTGATCCCTCTAATTCTGAGACCCCTGTAATTCGAGACCACTTTAGTCAAGGAACCAAATAACAATCTTCAATCTATTAACACTTAAGCTAATCCTTTATGCGAGACTGAACCCCGAGACCACCCCAAAGGTGTTCTTGAATTCGAGGGCGAGCTGTACTGTATAAAACACAGCTCAGATACTTCACAATCCTTGTAGAACATTTGGATTATGAGTGAAAACTCTCCTATTCACTACACACCTGGTTACACAGTATGCAGGTGTGCTGACTCTAAGGTCATGGTATTTTGCCGTTGATTGGTTCCAGCAGACATTTTTTGTCACTACAGTACTAAATAGGCTACGCCAATTTTACAGGATGCTGTCGATGCAATAAGGGTGTTTTGAAGTGATTTGCACTTTTGCAGTTTTGGCACTTTAACCAGCATTACCTCTTGCTGATTGAAAATGTATCTAATTTAAAAGATAAATATGTATGAATACTATTTATTTTTGGTATTTACTCTACCCTTAATTGGCACAATTCATCATAACTATTAAAGCATTGGGAGTCAAATATTAAACTAGTTTGTGTGTGAAGTAACGGATACCAATGTTGATGTTTGGTAAAGTGCCTGTATTCATCCAGACAGTTAATTATTTTCAGTTAAGTATATACTCTATATTGTCTAATTGTTCTTAAAAGGGTTCTGGAATTACCAGAGGATGCAAAGCAGGCTGCTAGAGAGAAAGACTTTGAGTTGCTTGGCTATGCAATTGATGCTCAGCAAGAGCAGCTAAGATCACCACGAATTGTCAGAATTGGTGCAGTGCAGAACAAGATTATACTGCCTACAAATGCACCCATAGCAGAACAGGTAAGGTCATTCAGTTATATATATATGTACTAGTAGTAACCCAAAGTAGGTACACATGTATGTAGGTGAGAGTATTTTGGTGTGAATAACACCAAGGATATTTCAAAGTGGGATCCTTGTGTTGTCTGGAAGCCACATTCAGGATTTTGTTTCATGCAGTGGCATATCTACGGGGGACACGGAGGAGTACGCCTCGCAAAAATTACTCGGGGGCCCCCCCCAAAAAAAATCACAGTCAAGTACAGTATTTAAAAATCACCTAAAATCACCTTATTTTGTGAATTAGCACCCCTCAACTGATCATTGATCCCCCAACTTCACCTTCGCGTCCCCCCTTCCATTCAAGACTTCTAGATACAGTATGCCACTAGTTTCATGATGACCTCTCTTACTGTATTACGTGATGATAATAAAAACTTCTAAATATTCTGAGTTTGCGGGAGGTGAATTTGATTCTGGTATAATTTTGCTGTTTTTGAGAGAATTGTGTGGGGGACTGCTGACTTCGCGAAGAGTCCCAGAAATCAAGGGTGACTGCTTGGAATCCATGAATATCATATCTATATCACATCTTTAAATCATTCAGAATCAATAAAATTTATTAATTTGTGTGTGCAAAGTAACAGATAACAGTGTCAAACTAACTGCCTTTCTCTTATTTACAGATAGGATCACTTCATAATAGAATCGCTGACATTGTTGAAACTGCTGCAAAATGCGGAGTAAATGTTATTTGTTTTCAGGAGGCTTGGAGTAAGTTCCTTTACTAATATCATTACATTATGCATTTTTTTCCTGCAACTTGTCTGTATTTTGTTTGTGGTGTACACTATCTTAATGGACCTTTCTTGCATATTGTTGCTAAGGTCCCATAAAATGACCTCGTAAAAACATACGCAAACACGTATGTTTGTGGGATGACGTGTGCTTGTGAAGCGCGTACTCCTAGCCCTGTTCTTAGAGTTCGGCTGTCAAATTTAATTGGACTCCTTAGAAAGGTCCATTCTATATAGTACTACTTTCTATGCAGATTCACACACGTTCATAGCTAGCCCAAGGCATACATAAGTCTCAGGAAGCTTGATTCTCGGTTTAGTAATGGAAGAGTCAACTGACATAATAATGATATAAAAAAAAAAAATCACTAGGCCTAGTTTTACTATACATGGAAATATTAAATTTTGTCTGAATACGTCATATGTTTAATTTTGATTATTAAACTATTTGGTGCAAGCAACTTTACTACACAGCAGAAAATATTTATCTTGCATGAAAAGCACATCCCATTTTCTAATTTTTTCCTAAGATTGAACCACTGTTTAAAACATTTCTTTGACAAGGCTGTAGTATGCAGGTGGTCTGTATTTTATATATGATTGTATGTTCTGAGTGGAGCTTACAGGTGGGCTTTATTGTACTGTACATGTGGGCTATTTGTACATGTGTTCTGAGTGGAATTCCCTTGTGGCTGTATGCTCTTGGTCATGATTTTACAGGTGGTCTGTATTATATTGTTGGTCTGTAGGTGGGCGGTATACACATTGTCTGTACGTTTTACAGCTGTTCTGTATTATACAATGCTCTGTATTGTACAGTTAGTCTGTATTATACAGGTGGTCTATATTATACAGATGGTTTGTATTCTATAGGCTACGGTCACACTAGAGTCTCAAGCCTGGCTTGACTCACCGCGGGTGAGATTTCAAGCCAGGCTCGAAATTCTGGGTTGGTCACACTTTACCTGAATTTAGTTGGATTGACCTCCAAATTAGGAAAGTCGAAACAGGAAGTTAGAGCGCCGCT